TTCTCCATGTTCCCAGCACAAACACAAGCACACGCAGGGTATCCTTGAAGAAACTGGGTGGGCGAGGTCTTCAATGGAGCCAGCCGTGTAGTAGGTGCCCAAAGGACGGGAGGGTTTCATCGGGAAGGAGCGCGGAGAGTGGGCGACGGGACGGGTCACTGCGCGGTCACGGGGTGAACCTAGCTAGCCACGGGAGGCACGGTATGGGGCAACAAGTTATGAGGCTCGATGGAGATTCCATATTCGACTCATTCATCTAGCCGTTGGGCAAACACATGAATCATTCCTTTCACGTACAGCTCACGGCTCAGGCCGCCAAATTCACTGTTCACTGTTCTGACCCTTATGCGAAACTTTAGCACGATTTGACCCTATTTATATAAAAAAAGTTTGAATCTAACCCTTTTTCTACTGTCATAGACGTTGACGGTAGGATACAACAGGCTACCGTTATAGTCAATGGCGATAGGCAACGATTGGCAAGTGGCTACCGCCGCACTTGATGGCGGGTAGGACCTGGGCCGAAGTAAATTATAAAGAACATGTGTTGCCCAGTAGTACCAAGCTGGTTCACTGGCTTGCTGGCTAGAGCGTGCAGCTTAGCAGTAAACAGTCCTTGGGTTTGAGTATTGTCAAGGACAGGTTCCTTTTTGTTTATTTTTTTGCCCAACAATAATTTTAAAAATAGCCAAATCGATGTTACATATGGGTTACTATCAAAAACATTCTTTTGACCATGTAAATAGCATTTATAAGGAATGACAGGAGAAGATCTTTTCTATTTTCTAAATACAATCACCGGATGTATGCTTCCTTATGTGCAAGATATGATGGCATCTTCATTCAACATCTTCACGGTCCATCGGTTACCATGCCACAATTGTGTCCTACGCTTAGTAAAAATGAAAAAACTAACTAGCCTAATTGATGTTAGATATGGATTATTGTCAAAAAAATCGCTTATCATTTAAAGGAAAGTGTGTGTTTTTAAGGAATGGTAGGAAAATATCTTCTCTCTTTCCTAAATACAATCACATGATGCCAAGGAAAAAAATATGTTTATTTCTTTTGCTCAATAAAAATGAAAAAACTAGTCTAATTAATGTTATATATGGAGTATTGTCAAAAATAATTGCTTACCATTTATAGGAAAGTGTGTTTTTAAGGAATGATAGGAAAATATCTTCTCTCCTTCCTAAATACAATCACACCATGTGTGTTTCCTTATGTACATGATATGGGTAAGACATAAGAAATGTTTTTCTTTTTCTTTATTTTCTTTACCAAGGTAAAACTACGTCTAGATCACTTGTGTTAAAAAATGTTTTGTGTATCACTCTCACATATATGTGCACTTACCATTTCAACATGTGTGCAATCTAGTTAATATTCATGTATGTGTTTTTATAATTTATGTGAATATTTGAATCAAATTCTATATTTTTTTGTTCATGACACAAACATGTGTCATGTCATATGTACCCACACTTTAAATGACATTGTAACATTCACTCGATGGTAGCATATTAGTTAACACAATTGTGGCACGGTAACCAATGGACCTTGAAGATGTTGAATCGAGATGCCACCATATCTTGCACATAAGGAAACATGCATCCTGTGATTGTATTTAGAAAAGATCATCTCATGTCATTCCTAAAGAAAAACTTTCCTTGTAAATGATATTTACATGGTAAAAATGTTTTTTTGATAGTAATCCGTGTGTAACATCAATTTAGGCTATTTTTTCATTGTTACTAGTAAAGGTGCCCGTGCGTTGCAACGGGATGATGTTGTTGTAACATTCTATAAAAAAGACGAAGATCAAGCATAACACAGTATTAAAGAATGACAATAAATAAATGAAATACTGAAAATATAGAATCAGTTCATATATAGGATGTATCACATAAACATAAATAGAACATAACTACTTCTATCGACTCTTGCCGAGTCCAATATGAGTATAATAAATCAGAAACAACATCTTTTTCACACTGAACAACACAGCAATTATATGAGTAAATTTGCCCATGTGTTGCCACGGTTGTTTTTTTACTTTATTTTTAGGCCATGTAGAATTTTGCACAATGTATTCTCTAAACATTCCAAATAGTATGAAACTGATAATTCAAGAAGTGATGTCACATAACCAGCCATACCCAACCGTGGTCCAGATGACCTGAATTTCATGAATTATTGCCACGTAGAAGAATAACCTATCATGTCATTTTTTTAATCCTCCTAGGAGCTTGCCCTTTCTTTTGAAAAAATAATATGGATTTACCTATCTCAGTTCAGTAGAAAGATACGAGTTTCTACCAGATTATGTGCAATCTGGATGCATGTGATAGCACTGTCGCAAAGTGGCAAAGCAAACAACAAAAGGACAGAAGGGAGAGCATAATATGACATTTAGGCATGTTACAATACTGAGATTAACAACATCCATCCCATGCCAAACAAAATTAGAATGTGCTAAACACAATTAACATACATCGCTTTATTGCAAGGTAGTCATGACCACAATATGGTCGTCGCTTCTCCCTCTGGCATTGCCGCTCGCCCATCAACCAAACCACGGCAGAGACACTGGCTATAATCGCTCACCCAGCAAACATCCACGGCAGAAACACTTATTATAATTGCTTGTCCTGCAAACACCCAAAGCAGAGACACTCTATGCAGTTTGTATTAGATAACTTTGTGCGGGTACCTTTGTCAGATATGAATGCCTATTCCAATTAAAGAAAATATCCATTTCTTTCGGAACTCGCCCAGAAAGAGTTGACAGACAGAATGGTATCAAGATTTACCAAAGTGTCACCTCACAACTCCCTGGTTGACACAAAACAGCATGTTAGGATAGATCATGCCGTATGTGCATTATTCAAAGAGCTAAATGATATATATATATATACAGAGTAGAGGCACTCTAAGTTTCACATAGATTTACATTCCAGCAGGGGTTCCAAAGGAAAACTAATTAATTTTGATAGAGCTCACTGTCAAATCAATGAAGCACAATCTTCCATTTTCGTAGTTCAGTATCAACCATAAGAACCTAAAACTGAAATGACTGAACTCACAAATCCAACAGTTTTCTACATCAACAACTCACATGCATCCCATCTCAGAAATATTGTAGCCTGTCCTGAAAACTAAAGCATGTGTGGTATTTGTTGCTCTGTTTATAATTAAGTGTCTTGTTGCATGCTTGTCTTGAATAAAGGGATAAATGCAATAATATGTGTAGCTGCGTAATATATAGGAAAGAGTGGCAATCTTAACAGTGAAAAGGGAGAGCTTCTGAATTAAGCACAAGATTGCATCATCCCTTCTTAAAAGTATTTTAGCTGAACCTGACAAACTAACAGGGGCACTACTTATGCCACCTAACACCCAAAATTACAGAACCAAAAAGATGCAGTATGCATTTTGGATCAATTCATATCCTAATGATTTAAAATATAGCAGTCGTGCTTAAAAGAACATAATTTATTTAAGTTGTAGTATATGTAGCAAACATGCCCGTGCGTTGCAACGGGCGAAGAAGACGACATTTTCAAATTTAGCGAGAACTGTATGTATTTGCAAAATGCAAAAGATCAGCTAAACAAATGATCAGAGAATAAATGGGTTTTCTATAGATCAATGTTCAAGTTTCTGAAGGAGGTTATATACATGTTGTTGAGATGAAGATCTGTGAGGATGTGGCATCTTCCATATTGCATCTCAGAAACTTAGATTGGACCCTGAGAACAGTTTGTTTTTCTATTTAGGAAAGGTTAATTAATTATTTTCCCGCAAAAAGGTTAATTATTGGCTTCTTCTTTGTTGCCGTTTCATTGTGTGTTGGAGCTTTTCTTCAGACTACAGGGAGAAACCAAGATATGTGCTTGAACTGTTAATTTAAGTCTTTTCTACCAGTGCGATCATCTACAGTTTTGAGTTACTGCCAGCTACATCTATGTGCTTCCCAGTTTCCTTGTGAATTGCTGGAGAACAACTTAATGTTATGTTTCTTTTTATTTTGAGACTTCATACTGTAGCTGCAGTATCAGGTATCTAAAATAGTTAGTGTATACAGGATACAAGTACAAGAATCCTGATGTTTCATTATAACTGTAGCATCTACTCCAAATACTGAATGATGGCATTACCTTGTCAAATACTGAATTAATGCAGGTACTTTTGGTTTTTTCAATAGTTAATTGTCCTGACTAAAATAAGGATTTTGACATTGGTTATAGTTTTGCGGCAACTTAATGATAGGCTGCAATTATTAATCCAAAAAATATATATTGGTGCTAGAGCACAATAGTTGTGCACAGGTACAGGAAAACAATTGGCATATACACGATACAGAAGAAATTAGAAGTAAATAGTACACGGGGGCAATCAACATACAAAGCTCATGTTCTTCGAAGAAATCTGCAACCAATCAAAGGAGACGGAGAGGGATGTGAGAGCTCACCCACTTGCCTGACACAAGAAATAGAAATTTTCTTAGTCTGCAGATTCGGTAAAGCAATTACAGTGAAGTGTAACATTCCAACTCTATAAGACCAGTTTCTTGGAAAACATTGTTCAACATATGTTGTTTAGAGTTATTATAGAGTTTAAAAAGTAAGTAAATTTGAATTAGCAAGATGAAAGCCAATTCTACATTGTAATTTTATAAGTCCAAAACATTTAGACCACTCCATCAAATGTATAGCTCAGGACTGAGCTATTATCCTTTTGAGACATCTCTGCACACACTCGAATGCTGGCTTTGCTTGTGAAAAGAATTCTTGTTGGCATAAAAAAGATACAGTGGTAAGGGAACTTACCGAGTAGACATTGTAGTTCCATAGCCCAGGATTAATTGCCAATCATGAATCATAGGAAGGGGGTCGAGGAATCAATATTTTACCCAAAAATCCAATAGATGAAACGTTCATGCATGGTCCTGTATGTAACCTTTGTACCTCTCCATAACGCAATATAGCATCACACTAAGCCAGCCAGCAGCAAACAAACCAGCTTTTACCTGTCAAATTCAGGTCCCAGATAAATCCTCCCCTCACTCGCCGTCCGCCCCTGCGTGTCCTCCACATGAGATTAGCAGCAGCCGCATCAAAGTAGTAGCAGTATCAGCATCAATCAACAAACAACAAGAAAGCAGCAGTATAATATGCAACTAACAGGAGCACACCAACGGCGCACAACATACAGAGCAGTCGTCCCTCTCCCCTGCCCTCCCCGCACCAGCAGCGCACCAGACCATCCTTGTCCTCGTCCATCTCGCCCTGGGAGTCCCGCACCATGCGCTCCCCGACCAGCGCCTCCTTTGCCAAACGCCGCCCACTCCCGCGAACGTCCGCGCCCTATCTCCTCTTCATCGGAGAAACCAACAGCACAGCCTCCTGCCGTGCCTCCCCCTCGTTTCTCTCCTTCCTCCCGGTTTTCTCTCTCCCTCTCTCTCGTCCTCCCTCCTTTTCTTTCAGGAGCACGCCGGAGCAACCGTGGTGCCGCCCGGGAGAACCCCGATGCCTTGTTAGTCCCGCCTCCGCTCGCCTGGATCCGGCCGCCTCGGAAGTTCCGCGCGTCCAGCCCGTCAACCATCACTCTCCGCAGACCTCACTCGACTGGATCGAGCAGGAGATCCGCCTGCCGCCCCGCACGCTCATTGACCGCCTCGATCGGGGAGGAGACCGTGATGAGTTGACCCTGCTCAAATTAGCCACAAAAGGAAAAAAATCGGGGGTTGAATCCTCTAAAATGCAGGGTCTTTTTTGTAAAAACGAAACGTTTGCTCAGTTTAGCCACTTAAAAGAGCAGTGCGGGTTGAATTCTCAAAACCGAAGGGGCTTTTCTGCATAAATTCTGACGACGTACGTCCAGAAGCAATGCGTGGTTTATATTATATATATATATATATATATATATATATACTCCTATATAGAGAGAGATTGGGCAAAAAAAATTAACAAAAAATATTTGTCCTTGGCAAATATCAAACCAAAGACCTATGGTCGCTAACGAGCACGCCCTAACCAGCCAGCCATCGAAGCAGTTTAGTACTACTGGGCGATCCACATTATTTATAGCATTTACTTCGGCCTAGGTCGCCACTTGCCAATCATTGCCATGTCATTATGTTGACCAAAAGCCTACTGCCAACATCTATGATGGTAGAAAAATGGTCAGATTCAAACTTTTTTACGAATATGGTCAAATCGTGGTAAACTTTCGCATAAGGGTCAGAACAGTGAATTTGGCCGGCTCAGGCCAACTCCAATGCTAGATCCCATTTTATCTGTGTGTGTCCACACTTTGAAGCAAATAGACAGAAAATGTGACCCAAACACATGCCCCATCCCATTTTTTAGTCCCTTTGACCCCATCTCTCGATCAAATTTGGTCGTGATTTGGGTCCAAAGTGGACACAAACCGGACGTTTGCTACGTCCCCATGTCCTGCTGTGTCCATTGCATGCAGATGATGATCCGTCTTTCATCCGAACAAATGGACCCACCACCCACCACACCGCTCTCTTTCCCTCTCTCCTCCTTTTTTACCCACCACGCTAGGCCAGTGGCTGCGCCACGGCGCTCAACATGCAGACGAGCAGTAGCGAGGGGGATGCCGGTCAACCCGAACGTTTAAGGGCCATTTGAAGGGTCCGTCTGAATTAAAAATCGTGACCGGGCAGTGACCAGGTGACCTGCCCAGATGTATAAGGCGGGTTTTAGAGGTCGGGCTATTAACCCGGCCTCTTTGGCTCAGTGGAAACCTAGTGCTCTTTCTCCGTCTTCCCAGCACAAACACAAGCGGGGGGGTCCTTCAAGAAACTGGGTGGGCGAGGTCTTCAATGGAGCCAGCCGTGTCGTTGCCCAAAGGACTGGAGGTTTTTATTGCCAAGGGGCGCGGAGAGTGGCGACGGGACGGGTCACTGCACAGTCACGAGGCGAACGTTCAATCCTTGTACCAGCTCGTGGTATGAGGCAGGCTCGATGGAGATTCCAAACTAGCCATCCATATATTCGACGCGTCTCGTCTAGCCGTTGGGTTGCAGCCGCTCCATCGGTTCTTCTACTTCTATTATAGTTTCATGTGCAAATACATATGTTTTTGGAGAAAATTTCGGGTAACCTCAGCTTCAGGGAAGCTCGCATAAAAAATACCATATCTTCTGAGTTTTTTATAAGAAAGATATTTTTAGTTCTCCTACGCAAATCAATGGAGCGACACATGAAGTTTTTGAAAATAAGCACATGAAGTTTCTTACAAGATACATACACGACCACTTCTCTTGAAAGACGTGGGCATTTTTTCTTGCGGCACATGAACATATCTTTTGATAGACACACATGTATTTATTGTTGATAAACATGAACAATTTTTCTACATATACATACACATTTTTTTGAATGCATAAACACATGAACTTTCTTTTGATGTACAACTCAGGGCTCTCTAGTCGGCTGTCGTGGCGCTCATGTCATCCGTGCTTCGTCTCTCTATAGTCTTCAAAGTCTCTCACCAACTTCAATTGTTTGCTCCCTCCACCCCGTGTTTCCTTCCTTGCTTCCCCTAAAAGGTCCCACCGTGTTGTGCCCACCGATCTAGCCACGCCTTCACATATACCAAGACCCTTAATCTCGAGCCACTATGTCCCTCTTCAATTGGTAGGCACGATCGGGTGGGTGGAAAACGATGGCTTTGATGGGCGTGGTGAACATCACCATTGTGGTGGTGCTAGACAACCCCGCCGCCTTACTCAAACCCTATCCAATTCAACATATTGTATGACAGTCTTGTTCCGCTTAACAACATCATGTATGCACTATGCCCCTCCTTCCGTCTATAGCCCTCTTTCCCATGCACTTGTCCCATTCTTATGATCATGCCATGAATATTAAACAAATTTGAAATATGAAGGTGCCCTTACAATCAAGGTTTTTTTTCTTTGCATCCACAAAGGCGTGATCCTAACTTAGAACAACCGAACACATGCAATTGCCCTAGTAATTTAAGTGTTGTTTCTGCCATAAGGATGAGACAATCAAATATGTTTCCTTCCGATGCAAGTTTGTGTAAACGACATGTCCAGTCATCAAGGGTGCAACGAGGTTTTACATGCTCACACTTTTGTTCACCCGGGTTCGAGAGGGTGGCTAGCTTTCTTGGATTTGTTTGTTAAGTATAACACTCTTGTTTTTCGATACCTCAACATCCTGATCCATTACCACAAGCCGCATATTAAGGATTGGAAGGAAGTCGATGGAGGATTTGAGTAGGTGATTGTACTCGGAAGGCAAGCTCTTGTTCTATGGTTCTTATGCGGTGTTCATTATCCTTCCAATGTCGACCCTATCTTTTTTTCCAATTGCCTAAAGGGGTGTGGGAAAAGCCTTCACCTCTCCTAGTTCTTTTGGAGAATTGATATAATCATAAATAAAGTATTTGGTGACCATTGGTCCCTAAATTGTATCGTGAAATGACTTTATGTATCATTTCATCAGGAGACCTCCTTTTTCAAACAAAAACAATAACACTTTCATTTGAATAGTTGGGATTTATCGCAAAAGCTACAATGGCATTACTTCGTCGGTTCGAACCAAGGAATCCGTTAGAAATGTTTTGAAATGGATATTGTTCTCTCATCGATCAAGGACTGTTATATGAAAAGAAGTGGGGTTTGAAAAGGGGAATGGAATGCTCAAACCGGGATTGCTAGAGGAACGCATTTTCAATAACATAACTTGTGCTCCTAGAATATGGTGTTCCATAAACTCTGGAGACAACAAAAGAAACTCTTTTCTATAAATGGAAAACTTACTTTTCATAATTATAGATGCAACAAATGAATTGAACCTTATAGTTTAGTAAAATTAGTAGATCTTATTAGAACTTTTATCAATAGTTTGTGCATGGTGGTTTTCTTATATATAAGAACTTATGCACCTTCTTCACTTCTTGGCCTACCGAGACTATGCTTCAAACGCCGCAAGTAGGCGAGCTTGCAGACAATTTCCCGGCCACCCCGCACCGCTTGGTTCTCTCTTGAGTTCAATCAAAAAAAGGGAATTGAGTGTACGAGAGAACTAAACATGAAGCACTAACACGATAGCCTGCATGATTGAGCCGGCGGTTGGAGCGTGAAAATCTCTTTTCGTCAGATTGGAGATGAAGCCATAGAGTAGGATGAGTCGTGGCCCACAAAAGCGCCAGGCCCAGATGCCTTTCAAACCAACTACTAGAATGTATGCCATAATGATGGCATACTTACCGATGATCTTTACTTCTGACCGTTATTGAAGATCCTCCTCCCGTAAATCCTCAATCTCATCATTCCAGTTTTTCAGATCCCTGGGTAGACATGTTCGTCCGTGGTATGGTAATGTTGGAGTGGTAGATGTATGGTTCCTCTCCGGTTTGCTGGCCCTGCGAAGAATGTAGGGCCGAGCGGCAGAGCGTAAGGAGATGAGTGGCCAAAGTAAGGTGTCCAAGACGACTACAACCAAGGGCAACAATACCATGGCGGCACAACTCTTCCCTAGAACGTGCTTACCATGTAGTGGCAGCTAGCTAACGGAGTGGCATTTTTTTGAGGTGAGATGCCAAGTGGGCTACCCCGTTTCTCTCCCTTTCTTTTGATCCTTTTTGTTTCGCCCATCTTTCATTTGGTTTATACAGTGTTGTGATGGTTGCTTGAGTTGCGACTTGCGACGAGCGAGGTATTTGAGAAGAGTTGTCAAGCCTCAGGGACGTGAAGTTTTGGCACAATTGCAAACTGGGCCTTAGTTGATGTTCATGATTTTTGTACTTGTCCACAGTGGGTAACCAACGTCGATGCAGCATCTAGTCATGCAATACCATGCATTTGCTCCCATTTTTCTCCAGCGGTTCGATTGAAACTTTGTTTACAAGGCTTCATGAAGTACTAAAACTAGTAGTATATTTCTTCCGAGAATCACTAAACATATCAGAGTCTGAACCTTTTTTCGAGGATATCTATTTCAGAAAAAGAAAGCTACAATGTCAACACTTTTTTTTGCGACATAGAACAGCAATACTTTTTTTTAGAGCCAATACTTAACACTTTCAGCCCACACGCAAAGCTTAGCCTTTTTACACGGGCCGACTTTGTATTCTGCAGCCCATTTATGTCGTTGGCTCAGTTATGCAGTACTCCACAGTCCACAAACAGTCTCCTGCTAAGGGCATCTCCAGCCGTTGGCCCCCCAGGACGCATAAAAATCGCCCCCTGGGGGCGAGTCGGCGATACACTCGGCGCTGGGGGCGGTTTTGCGCCCAGTCGTCGCCCCCAGGCGCCGAAATTGGCCCACTTTGCAGCCCAATTTCGGCGAATAAAGGGCCCATATGGGCGAGAATAGGCCCATATTCGGCGTGGTTTCGCCGTGTCTCGGCGTTCAATTATCAACACAATTATTTCTTATCACATATTTCATCACAGAAAAATCAAATACTTCAACAAAATAGTACAACAACAAATAGTTCAATACAAATTATATAGTTCAACAAATAAAAACTCATATTTCATCACACGGCGTCCCCCTTGAGCCTTCATAGGTGCTCAATCAGATCTTTCTGCAGTTGATGATGCACCTGTGAGTCTCGGATCTCCTGACGCATACTGAGATAGGCAGTCCAAGTTGCCGGTAGCTGGTGATCAACTTCGGCTAGAGGACCCTGCCTGTAGTATGGTTCAGTGTCAAACACTGGGTCTTTTTGCTCGCTCTCGATGATCATGTTGTGCAAGATGACACAGCAAGTCATAATCTCCCACATTTGATCTTTGGGCCAGGTCTGAGCGGGGTACCGAACAACAACAAATCAAGATTGGAGCACACCAAATGCCCGCTCTACATCCTTCCTGCAAGCCTCCTGAAGCTTCGCAACCCAGGCGTTCTTGCCTCCTGCCACAGGGTTTGAGATCGTCTTCACAAATGTCGACCATCTCGGATAGATGCCGTCAAATCCCATTGATCTCGAAGTTCACCGGAGGAGAATGGCCCTCAACGAGCTTGGCAAAAACAGGAGAGCACTGCAGCACGTTGATGTCATTGTGAGTTCCTGGCATACCAAAGAAGGAGTGCCAAATCCAGAGGTCATGTGTGGCTACCGCCTCAAGCACCACACTGCAACCGCTTTTGGCGCCTTTGTACATCCCCTGCCAACCAAATGGGCAGTTCTTCCATTTCTAATGCATGCAGTCAATGCTTCCAAGCATCCCAGGAAATCCTCTTGCTGCATTCTGGGCTAGGATCCGAGCAGTGTCTTCCGCATTGGGTGTTCTCAAGTATTGTGGCCCAAACACTGCCACCACTGCCCGGCAGAACTTGTAGAAACACTCTATGCTGGTGGACTTGGCCATGCGCCCATAGTCGTCGAGTGAATCACTGGGAGCTCCATATGCAAGCATCCTCATCGCTGTCGTGCACTTCTGGATGGAGGTGAATCCAAGAGCGCCAGTGCAATCCATCTTGCACTTGAAGTAGTTGTCGAACTCCCGGATGGAATTCACAATCCTGAGGAAGAGCTTTCGGCTCATCCGATAACAGCGCCGAAATGTTCTCTCGCCATGAAGTGGAGCATCGGCGAAGTAGTCGGAGTAGAGCATGCAGTAGCCTTGGAGACGATGCCGGTTCTTTGCTTTCATCCGCCCCGGCGCCGAGCCACCTCGCCACGGCTTTTCATTGCTCGCCAGCAGCTGGGCGAGGGCGGCGAGCACCATGAGATGCTCTTCTTCCTGGACGTCGGCCGCGGCTTCCTCCTCCAGCAGCGCGGCGAGCTCTTCCTCCTCATCCGAGTCCATCGCCGAGACAGGCAAAACACCGAACACCTTGCGCTCGATGGCGTGTACCCGCGCCTCCGCGGCCGGAAATGGCGGCCGGAAACGCCCAGCTGCTGTGGGAGGGGCTGCCGCGGCGAAGCGCTGCTATTTTCCGGCGGGGAATGGCTAACTACCGGAGTAGGGCGGCGGCCGTCGCCGAGATATAGCTAGTGGTGGCCGAGGGCGCGGGGGGTGCGAGGCGAGTCGGGGGAAGAAAACCTTGACTTTTCCCCTATCGGTGTGGGCCAGGCGTGCTTTTCCCTAGCGCCGGAGCCCCCAACTGCTCCCCAGCGCGCCGGGTTCGGCCTGTGACCGCCGGGCGGAAAAAAGGTCCGAACCAGCGATTTTCGACGTCCTGGGGGTGCGACTGAGCCGTTTTTCCGGCGCCGGCGCCGAAAAAATGGCCTAGGGGGCCTGTTGGGGGCGCGGCTGGAGATGCCCTAATTCCCCACCCACCAACACACGCGACTAAGTTTTTTTTACCGGTGGCGGGAGCTACCAGCACGGCTCCAGGCAATTACCTCGCACCACCGCACACTGTAGTTTATACCACATCCAGTATAACACTGTTTGCTCATGTTTACTAAATGTTGGTATTTCACCACCCTGGCCCATCACGTGATGTCATCCACATGCATGTATGTCAAGAATGTGACAGCTCTCTTCTCTCCTCCCTTACATAATAAATCCATACTTTTATTTCAGCTTTGCTAATTTTACTCGTCCGTATCTTTTAAACCATAATTTTATTATTGAAACTTTTTTTATATATGAACTCGTGGCGTTCAGACCTTTAAAACAAGATCAATCTTGAATATTTTTCAAACACGTTTGAATTTCAACGTTTCAATCGATTTATTTCACTTCAACTATTTCAATCAGTTGAAATTCTGATTTCATTTATTTCAAAAAATATTTTGAATAATTTCATGCAATCGTTTCAGATAAAAAATTCACAAATTATTTCACTCAGTTCAAGAATCCAGTTTCATTTTTTTCTTACAACCATTTCAATTATTTCAGCCGTACTACACTTTTTCAAAATACTATTTCATTTACTTCGGATAAGTCTCCACTATTTCAAAAAGAATGAGCTAATATATTTAAATAATTTCATAACATATTTCACTTTTTCAAAATGCTTTTTGTAGAAACACTATTTTGACACAAACTGATTTCACTACAAACCCTTCACCCCATTTCAAAAACACGTGTTTCGCTCATTCCAAAAAATAATTTCACAAAAAATGAAAACACATTTCACTCATTGGTCTTGTTCTAAACAGCTCCAAACATCGTATTTACTTCAACTATTTCAAAAAATAGTTTCACAAAAAATTTCACTCAATTCAAGAATCCAGTTTCAGTTTTTTCTAAAAACATTTCAAAAAAATTCAGACGTATTTCACCCACTTCAAAAATTCCGCTTCTCTCTTTGAAACAATCTATTTCACAATTTTTAAATTGATTTCAATTATTTCACAGATGCATTTCTTTGTTATTTCAATTTGGAAACACATCAGTTTCGCAATTATTTCAAAAAGTAATTTCACTCTACTTTTTTCAAGAAATAGACTGCAGTTCTTTCGAAAACTACTTTTCAATAAGTGATTTCATTCATTTTAACAGACATGTTTCACTCATTTCAAAAAACCAGATTCCGCTCATTCAAAAATGCATTTCACTCATTTTAACAAACATGTTTCACTCATTTCAAAAATCAGATTTCACTCATTCAAATAAACGTATTTCACTCATTTCAAAAGTTATATTTAACTCATTTCAAAACGGTTGATTTCAATGATTTGAATGAATGATTTCACCCAATTTAATAGGCATATTTCACTAACTTAACAGATTTCACTGATCAATATATAACTAAAATGGATATATGATTGAAATAACAAAACTCAAAGTAGACAAAATATACTCCCTCCATTCCATAATGTAGTGCTTCCTCTATCCCCGTGCGTCAACTTTGACCGTAAATTTAACTATGAAGACTGATTGCGGCGGGAGCAAAAATTATATCAGTGAATTCGTATTTGAAAGAAGTTTTTAATTATGTAACTTTTTCTCGTGCCGCAGTCGGTCTTGTTCGTTAAATTTATGGTCAAAGTTCGATTTCGGGAAGTGCGGGCGCACTATATTTTGGAATGGATGGAGTATTAAATATTGACCTTGTTTTAAAGATCTCCGTGCCAGGAGTTCAAATATATAAAAAAATCAAAATTGATTTTTTTTATAAAAGATATAAATGATTCAAACTAACAAAGATGAATTTGTTGTGTAAGAAAGGAGAGAGACTGCACCAGTACTTTTGCTGTCATGTATGTGTACTGTTGTACGTAAGAGAGGGAGGAGCATGCATGCATCTGATTAAACAATAGTTTCAATGGGGTCCATTCACTGTATTTGGCCAGGTATATAGCAAAAACTGAAAATTAATGCGTGACAGTCAGACGAATCTTGGCGTAGTCAATGGACGATGGATACTTAACCGGTAGGTACCAGCTCCGCTGAAAAGAGCTTTGCGCCAACACACAGCCGCCGCCGCCGCCAGTACCGACCCCGGAGAGCGGCCGGAAAATGGCCTTGCCGGCGATCGCCGACGAGCTCCTGGTGGATATCTTCCTCCGCCTTCCCACCCCAGAGGATCTCATCCGAGCCTCCGCCGCCTGCGTCTCCTTCCGCCGCCTCGTGGCCGACCGATCCTTCCTCCGGCGCTTCCGCAAGCTCCACCCCCCGCCCCTCCTCGGCTTCCTCGACCCAAATCGGCACTGCTTCCACCCGGCCGTCCCGCCTCACCCCTCTGCGCCGCCGGCCAGCGCCGTAGCCAGCGCCGCCGACTTCTCCTTCGACTTCCTCCCCGGCTCCTCCCGGGACTGGTCCGTGCTGGATGTCCGCGACGGCCGCGTCCTCCTCAGCAGACCCCGCCGCGCCGGTAAGGGTCTCAATGAGATGGTGGTATGCGACCCCTTGCACCGGCAGTATCTCCTGCTTCCCGAGCTCCCCGATGACCTAGTCGCTTCGTGGATTGACACACTCGTGACTGAAGGGCCGCGCTTCAGCGGATCCTACAGAGAGACCTTCCTCGTCTCTCCCTGCGACGACGAGGAGGCAGCTGCTACGGAGGAGACGTCATTCAGGGTGATCTGGATGACGCTGCTCCAAACTAAGCCGATGGCCGCTGTCTTCTCTTCCGGCACAGGGCAATGGCGAGCCATTCCACCCCTGACTCGGAGCGAGTCGTTACCTGGCTTCGTGCTATCGACATGGATGGTTTCGTTCGTGTCGCGCCATTACGCCAATGGTCGCTTCTACTGGATTTCAGGTTCGACTGAAAAATTGCTCGTGCTTGACATCCGAAGGATGGAGTTCTCCATGACTGACCACCCACCCTGTGTCAGAGGTGTGAGTGATGATGTGGCCATCGCGGAGGCCGGCCAAGGCATGACTGTGATGTTTGTGCCTAAACCTAACACACCTCGCTTTACCTATTCAGTTTGGCGAAACAACGGTGGGAGTTCCACCCAGTGGCAGACGGAGGAGAAGACAATCTCGCTGGATTATGGGTCCTTGATCATGGGTGCAGTGGGGAGGCACTTGCTCTTGTATCGTGGCTCGTTCTTCAAGCCAGGTTACTTCACACAGGACGTCAACACGTTCGAGCTTGAGAGAGTGTGTGATGCATTATCGAGACAAGCACACGGATATTGCAACTTCCCACCGTCGTTATTATCGTCACCTACAGTGTCAAGTGGTAAACTTTGTTGCATACCAGTTACCTCTTTCCCTTCATGACTATCACTATCACACAACTTGTTTCATGCTTGCCAGTTCATTATTGTGATCATAGTTATTGTTTACACGGTTTAGTGAGTGTTCTTTTCTGTGCTTGTGCAAAAACTGATCAATCTAATTGTTATTTATTTGTTTGTCTGTTTTGTTTGCCATTTAAGGTAATTAGACAAATGACATAAATGGCCTTGCAAACCAGGAGTAGCATTTTAGTGGTATCATGAAGCTGTGAAAACACGAAATGACAACAATTATTTCGAATTTTATGGCCAAGCTAATGGACAAGGAGCAGGTACAAGTTTAAATTAGGACGCTGCAAAATCACCTTAGAAAAATTTATTCCAGTCAACCAAGACTTATCATTTCCACTAATTCTCAGCTAAAAAAACGTCCACTAATTCTTATTTGGTCACCATTACGCCCATAAATTTATCTCAGTAGATCAATTTCATATGAAAATTTATCTGAGGTTCAAAAGTCTTATTTGGTCTCTGGTATGAAATTTTGATCATTCTTGACAGTACGTTCTAAATAAAAATGTATAATTACAAAAGATTTTGCAAGAAAAATCAAACTATATTATTTCATTATGTGAACGATCATGATAATTGCGCCTTATAATGCATATTTTTTCTGTATGATTTTTTAGGTGATTTTTTCAGTAGGAATTTTGCAAAGCAACTGAACTGAGATTGGTAATACTATCATCGGATGCTGATGATGGACAAATGGATTGTGTAGTACTTTTGTGTTATGTATAGAGATAAATGAAGCGATACCTTTGGCATGCCTTTAACCCTTTGTGCAACATGAAATGTCCTTTTTTGGTCCATTACATCTGAAAACCTTGTCACTCGGCAATATCCTTTCATTAGGTGCACTCGTAAAAGAAGTTCATGTCAAATTCATCAAGTCAATCTGTACAACCTATTGAAATTTGCTGTCTGAGTTAATGCACTTGTCATAGAGCACCACTCTTCTGAATTTTGACAGCCTTTGCTGCACAATTTTTTTATTTCCTTACAAATTCCAAATTGTTTTTGTTTCACACCTATTTATATCCCTCAGCATGACATCTATCTGAGTTTCAGCTCCGCAAGTTCGGGCACTTTATTTCATCCATAGTAAGAGCATCTCCAATCACAATGGGCTATTTT